AGGCGCTTATGCCACTGAGCTAAATCTCCAGCCCCCATATTGACCATATCATACCGTATCAAACCATATTGAACCTGAAGTAAGTAATTCAATTTGAATTAGTCCTATATAGCATGAGATGAAATTGTTTTGCTGGTTGGAAGGAAAAACTTTTCACTTTGGTTTCAGTTGCTCATTTTCCTTGGCTGAGCTTGAAGAACTACAGCAGTTAGAGGACTACAACACTGAAGAGCAAATCTGATAATAATTATTCAAAAAGGAAAGCTAGGAGGCCTCTAACTTCATATGAAGATACCTGAATGATTTGAGAGGAAATCTTCAAATAGTGACTTGTGGCCTCCGACATAGCATAGTCACTGACACAGAAGAAGAATAAATGAGCAAATACCATCAAGTCACACATGCTGGGTTTTATTTAAGGCAGCATCTCCTCATGTAGGCATTGATATACTTAAAAATGATACATTTCTTTTGATTTGTTCACATGTTAAGTGATTGCTTTAGCAGAACTTGAAAGAAATGGTCATTTTCTATCCTGCAGATTCAGTAACTTCCTTTAAGCACTCTATCTTGTCTCATTTCCCCAGAAGAAAACATTGGGATTTTCTTCCACGGTGATCTACCAGTGCTAGCTAAATTAATGGCATTGAATTGTCACAGTGTCTGGCGAGAGAGCCACTATTTTATTATTTGTCATAATCTTCTGATGAAGAAATTAGTAATACTATTGCTTAATGAATCCTTTGCTTTTTGGCAGTGTAGAGTGCTTAAAATTCATCTGTGACTGTGAAGAAAAGACTGTTAGTTCTATTCTTAGCAGGAAGCAAGTATGCAGTCCTATCTGCTTTTATGATCAGTTATGAATTTCAGACTTTAAATTTTATGGTAGCCTAAATTGTTTTGTTGCTTTGAGGTACAACTAAAAAATAGGAAAATGATGCTTGAGGCATTTTAACATGCTATTCTAATCTACAGAGATTGCTGTTAATCAATAACAAATTGGTTCAATTATAAAACTTTTCCTTCCCCCCAAAATCTTTTAATTTAGTAATGTTCACTTGTAAGCATGTACAATATGCAGGCTTGAAATTTTTCTTTATGTTTTGGTAACTGTAGAAACAAATGCCATATGATATAAAGGGCTAATGGTGGTTATAGTGAGACATTTTCAGCATTTTCAGACAGCTCTAGCTGCTTCTCTACTCTCCACTTGTAAGAATCAACAGCTAGGTCAGCAGCTTGCAGCCTTATTTGTTGACATATCCTAGGAAAAATTATTCAGCTATCCTAGCAAGATGTGTATGGCTGTTAATGTAGAAATGACACAATGTCAACTGGTACGGAATGCTTATTGTATGTATTTTCTGTTCTGAGAACTTGTTGGTTATTTTTGAAACATTTTCTGTGAAGAAGGTAGTATTGCTGTTAGTTTTACCACTTTACCGAGAAGATAGTTGGGGTGGGGTACAAGATGTTACTGATTTTTCCAAGACTACCTAACTGAGCAGTGACAAAGGTCAGAGCTTGGTTAGGGGACTGATTCCCAAGTCCGAGCTCTGACTGCAGGTATCTCTACATATGCCATCCTACTAATCTAGTGCAGATTTGTGGAATGTATGGAAAATAGGATATTTTAAGAATGAGATACATACTGATAATATAGAAGTCTCGTACTGTCCTCTTCCCCCAGTGAGTCACCTGAAACTTCCCTTGGGATATGTGTGACCCTCTTCAAAGATCATATTGTAAGGTCCTTATAGGCGAAAATCAAACTGTGTCCCTCGGTGGGCTTTGTGTCTTTTCCTGGGGTTACAGTTATGGTTGACAGTGAAGTCCATAATTGGAAAAGCTCTTCTCCAGCTGTTCTGTGTACTCATTCCTCTGGACCACTTCCCTCCCTCCCTCTCCTGGGCCCTACTAGCATTCAGTCACATCCCATCATCCACATATCCACGTGCAAACACACTCTTCCCCTGTGCCCCCCACACACAGAGTTCTCCTGTCCTGTCTTACTTTTCTTTCTAAGGCTTTCATTAGATGCTATTTTTATTTTTGTTGCCTCTTACTCAACTCAAAATTAAACTTTGGGAGGCAGAGGTTTTCTCTCCATTATTGAATGTTGTCCATACCAGTGACTGTCTCACAGTACACACTGAGAAATATTGACTGAATCAGTCATTTCTCTCTGGTTAGCCAATAATATAATGATTTCAGGCCAACAAAAGCAATAAAATATATGGCAAGGTAACTTGTCTTAGTCAAATTCAAAGTATCCATAGTTTAAAACCTACTGCACCAATGATACATAGGAAGTTGTAGAAGTAACCAAGTTACTTGCACAGTTGAAAAAATGAATTATGTGAGTCTCAAACCTCTATTTTCTCAATAAACCATTTATATTTCAGGTAATCTAGTTTATCTTAAATGTCAAAATAGGTTTTAATAAGGAAAGAGCAGCCCACAACACAGCACGGGTTTATTTGTTATGGTAAACAAATCAAAATTGAAATTTGAAACAATCATACTAACTGTCACTTGGCGGATTCATCCACTGGTATCATCAGTGCCTAATCAAAGGCTGCTGGATTAGAGTTCTCCGGGACACCACGGGGCTTTGGCTAAGGAATTTGAGTGGAAGCTCCCTTTACATGGCAACCTTCATAAGACACCAACAGTTTTCTCTTTTAAGTAAGGCAGAGCTAACAGAGATGAAACTACTGCTTGGATACTCTGAATGCTGATGAAATATACCATAGAGGAGATGTCAATTTACATCAGTATATTTTAGATTTGTCATAATTGGACCTGCTTTTAAGCACAATTGTACAAGCCCTCCAAGCCCCCTTTTAACCTACACAGAAAACACAGCATCTGGAAATTTCAGTCTTTTCTGAAGAGTGACTTGACAGAAAGGGGTAGATGTAGCCTTCTCTAAGATTAGAGAAGTGGTAGCACAATTTATAAGCTGAGCTAACAGAAAGACACTGGGTTAGGTTTCATTAAACTAGTATTATGGCTAGTAAGGATGACATGTCAGATGTTTCATTTTAAAGACCAAACCATTTCAATAAATCATTTTTACAATTTTAAATACATTATATAGAAACAATCCCAGTAGAAGGTGTGTTTAAATGTGGCAGATACATTCGTTTGCTCCCCTACATCCTGTGCGTTATTGCATTCCGATTTTATTTCCCTAAGATGTATTTATGAGATTATTTTTATGAGCTGACCCATGTTTTAGTTTTTGTCACACAGTCTTATTTACTGTTATTATTATGCTTATTTTATCGTGCCTTTCACATTTACATTCAGCCCATGTGACTAGCACCAGAATATTTTTTTCCTGTTGCACAAAAACCAAAAGGAGTCTCATCTTTTGAATACCTTTGCCAACACAGTACAATGAGAAGACAATATTCAGGATGTACTTGGAGTCTTTAGGCTAAACCGTTTATCGCAAACAGCTGTGTTGCATAAGACAGTATATTGTATTTTAGAGTATTTAAGGTTGATTTCTGTACTGTGTGAATGCTCTTCTGTTTTCTTTTCTCCCCTAACTCCTCCCTATCCAACAGCAGACCGTCCCAGGGAGCACTGACTGAATCCGATGACCCCGAATCAGGCTGTCTAACCGATAACAAGCCAACGTCTCGACACTTCTATCCTGTGGCCTTGCTCCTTGTCAGCTCACACCTGCTAGTCGTGTGGCTTATTCTAAGTCTTGCGTTACTATTAGCCAAATACCAATAAGTTTTATGTTGCATTCCTTTCTTTTTCTACAAATGACAATGGACTTTAAATCATGGGGATAATGCTGTAATATTTCTACATTTTCAAACTCACAGAATTTAAAAAAAGAAGTTTGAATTGTGTTTTTCCTAAAACTACAAAGACAAAAAGTACTATGCATTAAGTGAATTGTTTTTGCTCTTCTGTTCATGGAAATATGTTTTTCCTCTGTTAACTAGCTCAAGAAGAATTTTTTTTTTTAAATTACTGTCTGGACAAAAACAAAGAGCAGAATCCTGAAAGCTTGAAGTTCTGAGCCTCCTGTTCCTCTTTCCCATTAAATTTATTAACGAAATTAAGATTAAATTTGCACAACTCACTGAGACCCTGAACTCAGTCCTAAGGACGCGGGAGGTTACAGACTTTATTTCCACTGTGCTAATAACGTAACTGCCATCTGCCAAACAGAACTTCTGTTTAATTTTTGTTTTAAATTAACCTGTTTGTTGTTTTAATTCTTCGCCACGCTTCACCCTTTTCTGTCCAGTAACTTTCTGAAAATAATGGCTATTTATGTTGTGGAACTAAATTAACCTGTTTGTGACTATTGTTTAGGTTGATTTGGCTTTCAGAATACTTTTCTATTCTTTTTAATGAGGTCTCCTGTGTGTGTTGATGTGCCGATTTGAGTCCCTGGGATTTTTGTACTGTCTGTGGGCAGACGCTCTTCCTCTACAAAGCTGAGACATGGACCAGGCTGTTCGGAAAGCCATTTCCTCTCTTTGTTGCACAGCTAAAATAATGAATTAAACTAGAGACGAACCTTTCCTTTACAAATCTATAGGGCCAGACTTAATAAATTAAATGCCTTATTCCTAGAACCTACATCCTTAGGGCTGCATATAGATTTTAATGTGTTTTAAAGACTATGAAATTAATTTGTGGAGAAGTTACAAAAAGGCAGATATATTTATGACACTATAGTGAAGCTGTATTGTGGAGCAAATTATATTTAAAGAGTTTATTAAACTTTAAATGTCTGTTAAGAATAAAGAGACTTTAATCATCTCTTTCCATAGGCAATAATGGTATTGGGCCTGGCCTAGGATTTAATTTTGTAAGATGTATCATCATTTGTGGAAAAAAAAATGTAGAGTTGAATCTTTGTTATTTTTACTGGGACTGTTGCTGCAACTCTGCATTGAACAAATAAAGCATATTTATTTATTCTGTGTTTCATGAAGTTGTACTTTTTCCCCTTTCACCAGAGAAGGATGCCGCATAGAGAATGTACTGAAGAATATCAAATGCAGAAAGTATGCTTTCAACATGCTACAGCTGATGGCTTTCCCCAAGTACTACAGACCTCCAGAGGGCACTTATGGAAAAGCTGACACCTAACTTACCAACATGTAAATAAACAGGAACATAAATATGTTTTATTTGGAGAACCCCCACCTCGCTTTTTTGTTTTGTTTTGTTTTTATTTTCATTGTTGTAAATTTGCTCATGGTTGTTTACCCAAATATAGCAACTACTTGATATTTTACATCATATTATTCACAAAGAAATTCATTTTTGAAATCTTATAAAGCATTGTCATTTCTAGTTCTGCTCCAATGTGCTCAATAACTCCATGGTAGCAAGTGTACATACCATCTGTGGAATATTTAGATTAAACTCTTTCTGAGAAAACATGATTAGAAATGATGCTTTCTCTACAGAATGAAGCAAGAAGAGAGTGAAGTTCAGATGACGCTACTTCTTGGCCTTGATTACAGATCATCGTAGAGCCTTTTGTAGGGAATTTGTAAGATATTTATTTAGCAAATTGAAATTAGGTAAAATTCACTCGTGACATTGGCTTTGGAAGTAGTGTGCAAATATGCTTGTAAAGACCTTTGTTGTTCAGTCCAGATGTGACTCCACCTCCCAAAGAGACAGATAGACAATGTTCCCACAGACTTCAAAACCGTGGTATCTTTTTAACTCTCCATCTGCGACTGTACTGCAAGGGGCAGTGCAGAAAGTTCTATAGTATAATATGCAAAACGCTGTGAGGGACTCAATCTACACGGAAATGTAAGATGCACAGTGTGTTCCTGACCAAAACCAGAAGCTCCATCACTTGAACTTTGTGTAGTGAAGTTCATGGAAGTCAAAAAATCTCTTTTAAGATATTTTCTGGCAGTTCCTTTGTTGTGGAAGTATGCAGTCTAGCCCAGGTTAGGATGTACAAATAAATCTTTGATATATGCAACTGTATCTACCAATAACACAGTAATTTTCTGTTTGCCTGAATTTTAAATTTACCTCACTCAGTAAAATAATACCACTTCTAAAATTCTGAATCAGTAGCTTTTTTAGAGGTCATCCTGATCAGTGTCATTCTTCCAAAAGTCGATAGATGAAGACCGATCACCTGATTAGAAAACTGTAGCATCCTTTCAATCTCTTCTTATCTTCTGACTCTTCTTACCATAGTAAGAAGAAGGCTTGTCCCCTCTCCAAGGTGCTATGTTGGCTATGTATGAAAATTAAGGGAGAAAACTAGTTAGCTGAATAAGAAATTAGGATTTATCACCGGAATTGAAGGTTAGAGTACAGGAGTCTGAACGCATGAGACCCATTTTCCCCAAATGTTAAGAACTTACTCTTCTTCCTTTTTCATCAGTGGAGCATGCCTTCCAGAAGAGAACTCTTCTTTAGAAGTGCCAGAGGCTCATTACATAGGTATCATGCCACATTTAATTGATGATACTGTGAAACTTTCCACAGCAAATATGATAGTTCCTTGCCTAGATGCCTGTTGTAATATGAATTTCAAACAGGTCTCTGGACGCATGTTGACTTTCTCAAACTGCTGCAATTGTAAGATAAGCTTTTGTGCCTTCTCACACTAGAATTACCAATTGATTATTTTAACTAATGACCAATGTGTATTATTGAAGCAATTGCCAAACCAATTACAGCCTTTTTAATAAAAACGGGCTGTACATTCAAGATCTATCTATGGAAAAATTTTTCTTGCTGTTTTTTGCTTTACCTCATTCTTCATTTCAGTGATTAAATGTAAGCCTCAAATTGTTTGATTTTATTTCAAAATGGTAGAATTTGTGGTTATATTAATTATCCCTTTAGATTTATGATAGGCTGGATTTATGACAGAAGTTATAAGGCTTCATGTAATATATCAGATGGTAGCCTCAAATGCAAGAGATCTCAAGTGATTTATCAATGTATAAATATTTCATCAGCAATAATTTTTGTTTATATTTTTAAAAGCAAGACTTCCTAACTCAAATTTAGAAAAATTAATTATTAGCAAGGAAATTGATAACAGTAAGGTTTCCTTTTTTTAGAAGACATTTTATAGATTCATTTTTCTTTTAAAATAAATACTAACACAGAAGCCTCAAAGGATAAGGCTTACTGAACTGTAAATTCATATGAAATTCTCATTCATTTTGAACATAATCACCAGCACTCCTTCATAACAATTCTATATTTGCTCATGCCTCTCAAAGTAGATTTCATGAAGAAAATTCATGTTTCATAAACATCATTATTCTCTTCCTGAGATACAGTCCAAATATCCTTGCCTCACCTCTCCAGTATTTCTGATTATAAACTCTTTCTGAATCAAATGTTAAATATGCTTTTAAATCTCTCTTATATAAATACTGCCACAATCATACTTTTCTATCTACATTTGCTTTTAAAAGGTGTATAGGCCTATTTGAGGAGATCATGTTGAGCCAAAAAATGAACCAAGAAAATGACAATTCCACATAGCATATTTATTTCATTTTGTGAACTCAAATATGTGTCTTCCTTTTACTAGCACTGTATGTAGGTACCAATTCTGCCTTTACAGAGCCCTAGGGAGGAAGATATTGAAGAACAGTAAATGTTGTGACCCTGATTATAATTGACCCAGTGACAAAAGTCCAGTTCCTGGGAAATGTCCCACAAACAGTTACCCATAGAATTTTGAAAAGTTCAATTGAAGCAGATCCATTCTTAGGTGCCATTTTTTTATTTACATCTTTCATTCATTTTTTCATATGGAGGGTCTATAGTCTCCAGCTTTATCTACATGCTGCCACAAGTTTTTGATGCAAATTGTTCAGTCAGTTCCGTAATCCAGTGTATCATGGAAAGCATTTGATTGAGGTGATTAAAGATACTTTAAAATGATCCCCCATCCTCTTAGGACAGCAATCCAAGTCATTAACTTCCAATCATTTATTTGTAAAACAAATGCCTCTTCTGAAAAACTGTGAAGCTTTAAAAGCTATCATTGGCTAGAGAATACTGCCTAATTACCCCTGCGTACAATAAGCCAGTTGGAAAAAGAAAAAAGAAATGTTTGTGTAGAGTCATGCTTTCCTTCCCAAGAAAACCAAGCCATCCCTGTGTAAAGGCTGATACTGGGTGAAGAAAATGTCTGCAGTGTTGCGACAGAGCTTGTCTTGTTGACTCATGAAAGTCGATCATTAAATTTTCAGAAGTTTTGCTAGCTCCTGTTACACACAAACATGATCAAATATTAAATTATGAAATATAACCAGATGGATTTTATGAAAAGTTAAGATAATAGTCAGAGATTACCCATCCTAATCACTTTACTAAGGTTTAAATTTTACCCATGTCCTTGAGTGTAGTTGGGTCTGTTGCAGCTTTAACATATATCATGTATGTTACATGAGTGCTACTGTAGAGATCTGCCCATTTCCTCACTCAGGAATATCACACCATAGCTTGAAATCAGTAACCGTTAGAATATTTATTCTAACGCATATTTTGCAAACTACCACATATACTTCCTAGAATCCAATCATTACCAACTACTAGCATATGGCCAAATTCCACCATCATATTTCCTCCCCAAATTAACAAATTACTGGAAGCAAGATTATTAAAATCATTTCAAATACAATCAGCCATTTTCTAATGGCTCTAGATTTTATTTGTGTTTCTGCTATCTTATGAACTTCTGGTAGGTATCAGGCATATTTGATATTTAATATTTCATTCATAATTAAATTATTATAGTATAGTGATTAATTTATAAACCTGTCTTCATGACATACTGCAAGAAGGCTCTTTAGCAATGCAGTTTTAGTATAAGCAATAACACAGAACTAAATTCAGGGAAACATTAACCTAATCAGTGTACGACTGAAAATGTGCTTCAGTATCAATTTTGAAGCTTATAATTTTGGCATTTTCTAAATGTAGGAAGAATGTAACATATTACTCAGCTCAGATTCTAATAAATATAGCTCAATAGAAAAACACCACAGATGTGACACGTGTTTGGTTTTCAAGCAGGGTAATGTATCATTTTAGTTCATTATACAGGACACATTTTGTAATCGCTTAGGAAATAAATTAACTTTCACCAGAGATTTTAAAAAACTGGTTTGAGAAAAATTGTGATCAGCATTTAGAGAAGGAAGCAAACATACTGAGTACAAAACATTGCTAACAGCCATAAGCTTTACAAATTATGCACACTGAAAAGAATAATTTGCTAAGAATTTGTGTAGCTGATTTAACAAGTTTAGCATAAATTCACATTCCTATAGCCCAGCTGCAAGCTGTAGAAGCTACTGCCTTTTACCCCCAAATTTATGTTTCACAGTTTTATAAGTACCCGATACATTGCATCTTTTGTGTCTCCAGCAGTTTGAAGTCAGAACTTTACAATGAAAGATATACTGCTTATAGTGAAACTTCTTTGAAATTTTCAAAATAAAATAATATTTTAGATAAAATACAGAAGGCCAATTAGATAAAGACTTGAGGGTCAGAAATTTGCATTTTTTGTTTCCCATGGTACACACTGATTGCTTTTTAATTTTTTTTTTAAGTTAGGAAGGGAATGCCTACAGCAGTTCTAATTTATAGGAAAATATTATGCTTCACTATTAGTAACAAAAAGAAAGAAAACATTTGTAAGATAATATTAACACCAAAAGTTACATGCAATCAGGCTTGCTGAGTTTAAGTTGTACTTCAAACACATTTAGAATTTTCAATTACAAAAGAAAAATAGCTGATAAATGAAGTACCCCAAAGGCATGAATATCAAGGAAAAGATGAAGTGATCTTCGCAATAAACTTTATTTAATAGTATATATACAAGTAAAATACATACTTTTAATAAATGCAATTATTTAGGAAGAAGATGTTGCCTCTTCACACTCATGATATGACTGTCTTAAAAATATTCCTAAAATCATCGAAATTATTTCCAGGTCATAAAAAGGCATGATTCAACAATCCATCTTTAATGATGATCTGATGTGGTGTCATTTATTTGTGAGCATTAGTAATTAAAATTTTTCCAGGATTGCTATATTATTTATATAGTTCATGAGATGCTTTTATATTTTTATATCACTCTCAACATTAGGAACTATTTCATGTTGAAGATATTTCATATTTTCAAAAGCTAGTACCTATGCCAATATCCATATGGACACATTTCACTGCACATGTACAAACCTTTATATAAATTCCTTCTTATGTAAATATTTTATTATTCCATTAAACCTAACATTGTATTTTCAGATTTTTGTGGTACTCATCTGAAAGCTTGACATTTTTTATTTTATGTTATATATTCTGGATTAACCAATAAAATGTATTCCCAGTAAATGAGCCGCAGATAGATTAAATTGTTAGCACTTGAAAAAATATCATTTTTGTTTTATTGTTCTGTGTAAACCATATTCATTGTACACTGTGTGTATATTTTTCTTTAAATAAATATGATTTTATTTTTTATGTTTCTGTCTTTCCATACTCTGCATTTTTTCATTTTCATCAATGAGGTTTAAACATTAAAGAATCAGAAGTGTAGATTAATATATCAGAAAGCATAGGTTGATTTCTGATGAACCACAGCTCCAGTTCTACACTGAGACTAGGTCAGTTTCCTTTCCACTAGCAGAAGAGACTTTCCAGAATTGTTTTGTGGAGACAAGTAAAACCACAACTTTCCAAAAAAAAGTCAACAGCCAGGTGTCAGTGCTTCAACCTTGAGAAAATCATTGATCTTTCCTCTCAAGATTGTGTATGGAGGTACCTGAACACATGAAGATAATTTTTCCAGTAGACTCTTTGGGTCTGATGATGTACGCTCCATTAGAGCAGTTCGTAGTAGAAGGCAAATTCTAAAGAATTCTAATGAGATCTTACTGCAAAGTAATTAAGGGGCCTCACCCGAGGAGGCCCCGGTGCCTAGGTAAGCCATGTGCTAAGCTGTCTTTCTAGTGCTGAACAGGAGAGATACTTGAGAGATTCTTTCCCTGTGGGAAAGAATGCACAGTGAATTATACCAGTGCTGCCCCCCACTGCTCTAGAAGGGCAGACAAATGAAGTGGCAGTGCTGTTGTCTTAAAACACCTATTCACGGGCTCCTTGAGCATTAGAAGGCAGTGACAGTCTCATTCAAAACCAGAACAGGACAAGGAACGCAGAAAGTTGTTCTGGAGCTACATTTGGTTTTACCAGAGAGAGAATTCAAAAAAAAGTAAGTGGATGTAATTGAAAAATGTCAAGCCAGTGTCTGTTTCTAGCCAAAGCAGCCAATTGAACATGACTCTCTGGTTCTTTCCACTCTTCCCCTATAAAATCAAATTCTCTGTTCTCTGCATGTTTGGATGAACAAGGGTGCCTTGAGGACAACTCTTTTGATAAAGTTTAAGTCAAAAGAAGGGATGAGGAGCATTTGGACTCTTCAAGATTTAGCTACTAGTAAGTGTGCTGCTATAAATATGGGTGTGCATGTATCCCTGTGAATGTCCATCAACTGATGAATGGTTAAAGATGTGAGTGTTTTATGCAGTGGAGTACTACTCAGTCATAAAAAGTGTAAAGGAGACATTTCTAGATAAATGGATGCACTTTGAGACCATCTTCAGTGAAATGAAACACACATACAAATACTGCATTGTTGCTTTAATGTGAGAAAGAGAGTGTAAATAAGGACCAAAATGTTTAATAGATATTGTAACATAGGAAGAAAATGCTCAAATGATAGTGGGGATCAGAGAAGGAGGAGGAAGACAGAAAGGAAAGGAAAAGAACAAAAATAGGAAATAAAGGAAAAAGGCTTTTGTAAATATGGGGAGGGAGAGAGGTTGAAGAGATCAGATAAGAGAATGAGAATAAAAAGCACCAAGATACATCATGCACAGGTAAAAATTCCCTGTGATGAATGTAGTCACTATGTATACCCAAAGCATATCAATAAATAATAGAAAGGAAAAAGAAGGAAAGACAGAGAAAGAAAGAAGGAAAGAGAAAAGTAGAAACCATTTAGATAGAACACTGGGAATAGGGTACTACGTTGCTGGAAGTTATACTCCATCTTCTGATCTGTAACACTTTCATTTTCCCCATAGCCCCTGCCTAGTTTTAGAACTTAGTCAGATCAGTTACAATAGTGCCCTGCTTTTATTTTATTTTATTTTTTAGTGTTTTATTTAGGATGATGACTTCCTCTTTCTGCAAACAATTGGCTGTGAATCACTGCTTCTGAGAGTTCACTCCTGACTTTGTAGTACAGACTTCTAGCCCTCCTGATTCCTTTCCAGCCATTGTATTTCTAGCTACTGTCTCTGCTTCTTCTATCTCTTGCATTTAAAAATTGCCCCATAGAGTAAAATTGGTATTCCTCCTTGCTAAGTTGTCACGCCCTACCTTGAGGCCTATACTATTATTCCTAAGGAGAAATTCCAGCCCAGGGCTAGAGAACGTGGGATTTTGAATTGGTATGCCAGCAAATAAAGCTTGGTTCCCCTACTTATGATATGTGAACAAATGTTACGTTATAAATGTTTCCATACCTTCACATTCTTGTCTATACCATGAGGGCATCTCCCTTGTGTGCATCCTTCATTACCTCTATTACTATAGTTCTTTCCAAACTGAGCGAAGTCTAGCAGTTAGTGAATGCTAAGGTTTGTCTCATCTTGTTATTAAGGCTTATTCTCCATCCCTGGTGATTCTGTCCTCCACACAAATCCAGTCAGACTCTGTAGACACAGTGGATGTTCCTTATATACATATGCACACACACACACACACACACACACACACACACACACACATACACACATACAGCCCTCTCAGATTTCTCCAAAACTGTTTCCTTTCTCCCCATCATCCTCAAAATATTCCTCAAGATTAAACTCATATGTCTTTTAATCCAAATTAATATTCTCACATCACTGTAAATGCAACCAGTCTTTTTTGCTATATTTCCTCTGTGTTACACCTGTTACAATTCATTGATTTATTTGTTCTTCTGTTCAGCAGATAGTTTTGAACATCTGTGCAGTTGGTATTGAGTTAGAACCAGGGCATTCAGTGATAGATAGGAAATATATGTTCGTGGAACTTACAGTCCAGTCTACTGAGAAAAGCAAACAAAAAGAAAACCAACTAAGTGACAAAGAATTGCTCATTATCGTGAACAATATGAAACAAATTACTGGAGTTTTGACAGAGTCATAGGGTAGGTGGTGAGTAGTTGCTTGTTTTGATAGCATGCTCAGAGCTAATCTTCCTGAGGAGGCATAGTTTAGATGAGCTATAGGAAAGGGAAGGATCCAATCTAAAACAGGGTTGGCCACACAGAAGGACACTGGTGGGGGAGCAGTGTATGAGCCCCATTTATAAAATGAGGAAAAAGAGATGAAACAACAGTTACCAAAGTCCTTTAAACCATGAAAAGAAAATTCATGATTTACTTCATGTGCAATAGGAAGTAAGAGCAAAGTCCCAAGCGGGGAACTAAGTGATCTGGTTTATGTTTTTAAAATGTCATTCTAGGTGCTGTGCAGGTAACACACTATAGGAAGCTGAAATTAACAGTGGTGAGGGAGCCAGAGGATACTGCAATACAGTGAGAGACAGCGTTGCCTTGGACTGTGCTGGGCACCATCCCAATGCAGACTGACACAGCGTCTCAGGACTAAGCTCAGAAAGTCTTGTAGATGGGTGGGAGTTGAGGTTGGTGAGTGAAAGCAGGTCATTAAGGTGAGTTTTATTTTTCTGACCTGAATGATGAAAATGTAGTGATATCACCGATGGGTTGGCAGGAAAATCAATGATTCAGCTTAGGCCCTGGTAGATTCAGCTGCTGCCGACTCAACCTGTCCAAGCAGAAAGTCAAGCATGTCCATAAATATGAATCTAGAAACTCAGAGCAGAGACTAAAGGGAGAATGAATAATGCGAGCTGTCAGCTTTATGCAAATGATGAAAAACACTTGAAATAGTAGTCAGCGCTTGGTTGACAATGACAAGAACACTTCAATTGCTTGAAAAAAGGGCAATTATTGACTCATAAAACAGAAAGGAGGAAGAGTGGAACTTTAGGTACATTGGCTTCCTGATGTTTAAATGAAGGCATCAGTTTTGTCCCTATCAATCTCTTTATCTCTGTGTCTGTCGCTCTGTCTTCTCCTGGTCTCCACCCCTACTCTTTGCAAGGAGAGAAAGAGAGAGAGAGAGAGAGAGAGAGAGAGAGAGAGAGAGAGAGAGAAACAGAGAGAGAGAAACAGAGAGAGAGAGAAACAGAGAGAGTCTTTAGCTGCAGCATCATGGCTGCCTCTATATTTGGATTCAGATGCATACTTTTCAGGTCATTTTAACTTCAAGGAAGACCAGAAGTCACGGGAAGCCATCTCTGGCGAGTATGGCAAATGATGACATTCGTGATGTTTTACAAACCTACGTTCAGCTGCAGCATTGGCCTTTTTTTTTAAAATCAGGATTCATAAAGACACAACAGAGGAGCTCCAGATCTGCTGCAGAACGTGGCAAGAATGATGGGATAGCGTGCTCAAAGCAAGGAGGAATGTTTTCAAGGGGCTGCTGGCAACATGCCCTTTATGTTAACAGGTTTTTTTTTCTTTAATTTAAGCATTCACTCTATCTTGACCACCTCTTTGTGTATATAAACATTGTGGTTTCAGTTATGGCTGTGCTTTCCAAGGTCTTAGTGTCATTTTTCAGAAAGTCTCCGCCACGGTGGCCTCATACAGCAGTTTCAGTCTGTGTCTCACGGGAAACTTTTCCAGAAACAATATCCACCTCTAGGTAAACTCTGCTCCTCCCTGTGACCTGGAGGGAGCCTCCACAGGTCAGCCTAAGCTCCTTCACCCCATGATGGAGAAGCGGGCACTTTGAATGAAGCTCTGCTGTGTCACCGTGGGAAACACTGAGAAGGAGCAATTGACAGGGCACAGCAGACTCCTACTGCATTTGGGAGGCGAAGGAAGAGAAAAAGCCTGAGACCACGTCCCCAGGAACGCCAGCGTTAAGGGGGGTTATAAAAAAACCATGGTCTGCTTTGGATAAGGATATGTTAATGCTGCATTTTATTTAGAGTCATATTCTAACGTTACAAGTAAGAAGAAAATGAAAGGAATGTCACTGTGAAAGCCACCGTATCACTACAATGAGAGACGAGGTCTAACAGTGTCTTGTTTTCCTTTCGCCATGAATCAGTCGATGCATTCTTCTTTTCCATTCAATGTCATTCATGATAAACATTCTTTGAAAATGAAAAGAGAACTTCCTTCACTGGACAGCAATGTCTTGAAAAATTACGGCATACTGAAGAATGAACTATTCATATCAGAGATGTAGAAAAATATTCTTTCTCCATTTTATTTTTGTAGGTTCTAATCATTACAATAACATCAATTTGATGGAATGAAACTCTTATGGACAGGAAACATAAATTGTAATTAGAATTTTAAAAATTAGAGA